ATTTAAAAATTAGATTATATTTTAAAAATAGGATAAAGAATTATATACTTCTCATGTTTGCACGTAAGTCCAAAAATCTCTTTTCTGAAAATTAAACATTAGCCCAGTAGTTTGTGAAATTCTTATATTTTTGTGAAATTTTTGTATTATAGAATTATATTAAAACCTCACAACCAGGCAAACATGATCCCTGGAAGTAAGACAGTCTCTTTAAGAAATGGTGCTAGAAAAAAGACAAAAGATAGAAGAATAAGTAACACCTAGTTATATATTAGCTAGAAAAAAGACAAAAGATAGAAGAATAAGTAACACCTAGTTATATATTAGCCTAGTTCTGCCTTTGAAAAGTTTTATCTTTCTGTAGTGTTGTACACTGTAGACATTCCCTTGAGATCAGACAATGTAGCTTTAATTTCACCTAGGTATATAAAGTAAAGATTTCTAATATTTCTAACATTTCCACATAAATCTTAATGACTGTGTAAAGTTGTAAATTTTGAACATCTCTGAAATGCCCAAATAAGCAAGCTTGACTCCAGTGAGTATGAATGTGATAAGTATAGGAGGAAACCGCACTGGATGCCTGGCCTTGTAAGTGGAGAGGGAGAAAAAACAAGTCATGTCTGCTTTTTCCTAGAATTACCTTCTAAAACATAAGTTTTCGATCACGTTTATTGCTAGATGATTAGTTATACCTCCTAAAATCAACAAAATGCATATTCCTTAGATAAAGTTAGGTAATCTCAGAGTGAAGTAAAACAACATAAAAATCTGAACACATGTGGTGGATTGACAACTGGTGATCAACATGTTGCACACAGCTGAACTGAACCAGTGCAGCGCAGGGAGTGGGAGGCCCACCTAAGGACTGCTGCCAGCAGAGGAAGAGGCAGAACTGGAGAAGAGGACAAATAAAAGGAAGCTGTAGGTTTTCTTGGGTCTGCTGTTGGTTTCTTTGGAGGAGCTTGTCACATTGGCTCTTCTGATGAACGTGTCTTTCCTTATTTATCACTGTCGTATGACATTTTCAGTTCTTCTGGAAAAAAATACCCAGGGGGGAATAGCTTCCTTGAATTGAATCTCAAATCCTAGCATTTTAACCAATCTGTGTACTGATTTCCATCGTGGTTGAACCAGCCTGAATTCACACTAACATCGGAGAATTGTTTCTTTTCCAACACAGCACCGCCATCATTTGGTATTGGCTGACTTCTTAGTGTTAGTCATTCTCTTTGGGATAGGAATCAATCTAACAAAGGAAGTAAAAGATTTATATAGTGAAAATTATGGTATATTGAAAAAAGTGATTAAAGAGGATTTGACATAATGGAATGATATTTCATGCTCCTGAACAGTAAGAACCAACACCATAAAAATGGCCATACTCCCAAAATTGTTATACAGATTAAATCCAATACCAATTAAAATACCACTGGTACATCACAGAGAGGTAGATAAAACTTTTCTTAAATTCATTGGGAACCAGAACAGACTTAGACTATCAAAAGGAACCATAGGAAACAAAGGAAAGGCAGGAGGTATCAAAATCCTTGCCCTGAAATTGTACTATAAAGCTACTGTGATACCATCAGCAACATACAGGCATAGTGACAGATGAGGATAAATATAACAGAATAGAAGATGCATACACACATGCCAACATACTCAGCCACCTTATCTCATATAACCGTGGCAAACATGATCCCTGGAAGTAAGACAGCCTCTTTAAGAAATGGTGCTAGAAAAAAATGGCTTTCTACATGCTGAATGCTAAAACTACACCCTTGTCTGTCACCATGGACAAAGCTATTGTCAAAATAGATGAGATTTAAATATTAAAACAAAAACTCTAAATGTTCTCAATGAAAATGTAGGTAAAAATCTTAAGGACAGATGTAGGTAGGTAGTTCATGAACCAAAAGACTAAACTGTACAGGAAATACTTCAAAGCATCAACAACAGGGATCACATCTTTTTGAAAAGTGTCTGCACTTCAAAACACATCTCCAACAAAGTAACAAGAAAAGCCACAAACTGGGGAAAAATTATGGCTGACTGTTCCTCTGACAAAGCCTTCTATCTAGCACATATATAAAAAAATAAAAAGAATAAATCAGACTCCTCAAATTCAAAGACCCAATACAAAAACGGGCATCTGAGATGAATATACACTTTCCAGATGAAGAATTACAAAGGCAAGTAAATATAAGAAAAATGTTCATCATTCGCCATTCTAGAAATGCAAATTAATATGATATTCTATATATAAAAGTTGTTTAGGTATTTTGAAAAGAATGTTGCTGTACTAGTTAGTTTGTGTTCTTCCTTCTAAGCTTCAGAAAGTTTTTTTTTTACCTTAAGGACATCATAATATGAATATCTTTATGGTATCTCATGGTGATATAAATGTTACTAAGACCATAGTCTACATATTTTACGCTATGTTATCTTCACTTTGCTCTCAACCCAATTATGAATCTATATGTCAAAAATGAGATTTAATTTATAAAATAGTTACCTTAAGGATAAAAAGAAAATTCAAACCAAGATGTGTCTTTTTATGTGCTTCTATATTGTAGGTCTATTTTTGTCACATAATTTGTTACATCTTCAAATATCCTATGGTACCATAATAAATAATTTGAGTATCTGTTGGGTTTATAATAGTTGGACATAAAATATTTCCTGAGTCTCATATTAAAACCCAAAACCTATGCAGGTAAGACAACCAAATGGGCAAGCAGGGTTCATAACCCTAGGTGCAAGCGATTGCCCTCTCCCTACATGGTAAGGTCATTTGCTGGAGAAAACAGGCCCCTCAAGCTTTGTTCTTCACACAAGTAGTAGTGACACTACATAATATCTAAATAATAAGAGTGTCCACTGAGAAAAGTATTTGAGGTGTGTTTTTTTAGAATTATGTTTTTACCTATTTTACTCTTTAAGAATACATGTGAACTTGTTATTTACTCTCCCTTGTTTGTTCCCAAAGTAATACTGCCATTTTTCATATTCTCTGGAAAAAGAGGGTAAAATAACCCTGAAAAGCAGTGAAGTTGCCACCATAGAAGTAGATGCCAATGTAAACCTATGAGAAAAACAAATAAACAAAAAAATACTTTGTTTTTTCACTCTTTTTCTACTTACTCCTTCCAAGACAGACTTTCCTACTTTGCCAGAATTCAATTTACTATAACAAGAATTTTAATGATAAGATGTTTGCCTTGCTTACTGTGAGGCAAAGTTAAATGTTCAATTCAATTAAAAAAATATTACATGGGCCAGTGAGTTTGCTCAGCAGATTAAAGTACCTGCTTAGGCAGAGGCACGGACCAGCTGTTTGATCCCCATCCCAGGTGTGCCCTGCAGCCCACACCCCCAGGGAGCACTGAGATGGCAATTGAGACTGGGTGTAGTGGCTGGCACTTGTAATGCCAGCACTGCAGAGGGTGAAAACAGGATCACCACTATGAGTCGATCTGTATAGTGAGACCCTATAGAACCTGTACAAAATACATAAAAAATAAAGAATTAAAAAAAAAACAATATAATACTCATTTAAGCTTTACTCGTGAACCAAATAGTAAAATCAGTATGAAGTTCACGAAAATGTAAATGGATAAATACACTGATGTATAATTATGTAATACAATATATCTCAAAAATATAAAGGAAAGGAAATTCTGACATATGTAAGGACATGGATGAATTATGAAGGCAGTATGTTGAGGAGTTTGAAAAGCATATCACTTTTTTTTCCTTTTTTAAAATAAACTTATTGAAAAACAAATAGTATTGAGACAGTTTCAAAACCGATTGGATATTGTTGTCTTAGTGGTTATTCATTGTACAAGATGAAAACATGATATCTTGTACACAAACACTATTAGAATAAATCACTCTATTCATTGAATTAAGAGAATGCAGCTATATATAATCCTATTTTGACTATACAGATACAAAATTGTCATTCATTGTATCCCCCCTTTTTTAGTATTGTCAGACAAGGATATTCCATTGTCATTTAAATAATGTAAGTGTGTAAATTCAGCAAAATATTCCAATATGCTCCAGTAATCCATAATAGTAGTGGGTTTTCCATAAGACTGGCAATATCAGAAGTTGTTGACTTGAACCTTTTACAGCTCTACCTATTAATATAGCTTTACATATTATAACTCATTTTTATACTTTTATCCTGGATGGTTTAGACCAAGATAAATCAAGACCTATATAACAAGAAATGTAACTTTTCTATCTGATAAGTTCAGTCAAATCCCCTCTGGATTTATCCTGAAACCCTGTATCGCAGTTTGTAGATCCTTTGTCAGTGTCAGCCATATGGATAAGTCACAGTCATTGTCCAAACAATTTGCTCTCTGTGAAAGCCTGAGAGAATATTTTCTCTCTATGTGACTCTCCTTAGGCACATTCTACATCACTGATTACTTTCTCGTGTGACCCCCATGATTTCCTTGATCAGAAAATTTGGGACACAACTGAATGACATGATGTTACAATGCAGGTTCTCCTATGTCCTGAGTCTTCACTGACCTTGAAAGGCTAGGGGCAAATGTTGGCTGTCCTTGCAGCCCTTCTTTTTCTCTAATTTTTGGACTGAAAATTTAGGTTGCTAACCTATCAGAAGTGAAGCTTATTATAATTACCCTGCAATATAGACAGTTGAGCTTAACCTCACTATCTGTCTGAATATCAATCATCCTAGGCATAACATGGAATAGGCATTTTCCATCAAGTATTGATATGTGAAACTTTAAGTCCTAACAGAAGATAAAAAAATAAAAATTTTAAAAATATTTTAAAAGTAGGAATAAACAGTTACATATTTTTATACAGAAATTTAGAAATCTAATCATATATAGCATTTTAGCAGGACAGTCCTGTGACATATTTTTCTTGTCTCTTGTTTTCATTTATTATCACTTTTTTAAATACAAACATTTACTTGAAAGACAGTATGGCAGCAATTTGTATGTCATGACAAGCAATATATATCTAGAAGACTAGAAAGACAGGCATTCCAAGCATGATCCTACCTTTACACATTGGAAAAGTGTATCACTTCTAAGAAAGCAGACACGTCAGTGCAACACAAAAGTGCTCACAATAAAGGACTTTCAAAACTACTCAGAAAATGCCAAGAATGAGGGATCAGTGTGTTTCAAGTGAGGGTGGTTGTTTTGTGTAAATTTTACTGTAAGAATTTTCCAATTAAATTTTCACCTATAGGTACAACCTTGTATGCATACAATTTACATATATGATATACATCTACAATTTATACATGTTCATTTCTCGTTTTATTTTATTATTTTGAAATGTTATAGAATATATAAAACACCATTGTATAGAATGTATAAGACAAACTCTACCATTATAGATCAGTTTTTGTCTTTGATCCTTAGTCTGCTCAGAGTGCTCTAGGAAAATACTGTATCTGCGATGCCAAACAATACATCTGGGGAGACTGTAAGTCTAACATCAGCACATCCAGGGGAGGTTTCCTTCTGATATCTTCTCCTGTACTGCAGATGTCTGCATCTCATTGCTCCCTTATGTAGTGTACGCATGTGGTGTGAATGTTGGGGAATTCTGGTGTCTCTTTGTCTACTTAGAAGTGTACTTGGCTAACCAGATGACAGCTGTGTGCGTATGAAATATTTATCCTATCCTCAAGGTAATATTTCCAAATCAAGTTTTCATTGCTGGTAAATTCTATAACATGTGAGCTTACATGAAAATGCTATGTCGTTTAGCTTTCCAAAACTGCAAGTAAATATTGGAGATGAATAATCAATGTATGAAAAGGACAAGTTTATTGGCCTTCACAGTTTTGTTGTTCCTATTCCATGATTTGTTGTCCTTGACTCCTCACATAAGGGGCACTAAGGAAGCCACCAGCCAGAGAAACACTCAGAGAAGGATGTCTTACTGCGAACCAATGAGCACTAAGAACAGAAAGGAATAGGGTACAGTCTTCATGAGTGACACAACACATTGAGGGACCTCTGCATCAGTTATATACAGGGGCATGGAATGACCACGACTGGCCTAACCCAGGGTAAGAGAAAAAATATAACAGAGTGATCACTTCTCCATCTCTCACCAAAATGCTACTACTTTATGCCCATGCTTTATCCTGCTTACTGCCTCCAAACTAAATGCCACAAGCTCAGAAGACCCTTCTCTCACTACCAATGAAGTGTACGGGGCCCAGCTCTCATTTCAATTACTTCTCATTGACCCTTAAACATTGCTGGATCATAGATAGGAAGACCCTCTTCCACGGAGATCTAAATGCAACTAAAATTTCTGCTTGACAATAGTTAGGATGTAAGCTACTTTCTCTTAGTTCAATGAGAAGAAAGATTTGTACTAATAATGCTTAAACAAGATAATCAATCTGCATCTTGCACTATGAATAACTCCAATGAAGACAATAATATGAAATGTATTAATTATTGTAATTGTCCTACTAACCTGTTTTGAAACTGTTTCAATGCTATTTCTTTCTCTATAAAATTAACATAAAAATAGAAAAATAAAAATAAAAAAATGAGAAACAAAAAGAAATCCTTCATGAGTTCAATGCAAGCCCATACAACAGAGGAGCACATGATTTGAAAGTGTTCCAAGTGGGCTCAATTAGAGGATGTCCAAAGAGCAGTCAAACAGCTGCAGGGATTAATATGGAGGGAACGAAACAAAGATCAGAAGGAGATTAAATGCTTGACCAGTCCTTTGTATTCTGACATCCAACAATACAATTGAAGTTGTCCAATCATTACTTCAAGAAAAATACACATACATATTCATGCCCACAGGCAAGGAGCTGAAATTTCCTTCTTCATTCAGAAGGAAAAAAAGGCAGGCCCAGTCCACTGTCTGAACCACACAGAGCTTCCAATTGTTCATATGTAAGAAAACAGATTTTCAGAGGGGAGTTTGCACAAGTACCTTCAGCTTTCTTACAACATAGTTCTGAAGTAAAGGCAGAGTGCTCTAGTCCAAATTCTCAGTACAATATAAAGAGGACCAAGAACGGTCTGAACTTTTGCATGTTTGTACATATGTGATTACAGTTGTTTCCTATTCTTTCTATTCCTTTTTCTTTTTCTCCTTGTCTAGTATTAAAGAGTGAAACATTTGTATATTGGAAATGGAGAATAGTAATTAGTTCACTGTTTTATAATAGGTAACATTTTCTTTAGTTCTATTAGGTTAACCCCTACCAAATGATATGTATAGAAAATTCAAGCACAAAATTTCAATCAGTAATTTCATTAGTTGTCTCTCTTACAACTTCCCAATTTACACTTGTATTTCCTTCCCACTTGATTTTCTCCCAGTTCCGACATATAATCTCTCAAACCTGCTCTCCCCTGTCCTCCATTCCAGATATAAAACTAACTTCACAATGCTCCCAGCTCTCCTTTTATTTCCTTTGTCATATCTTTTCTCTTATTCTCTTCTCTCTGAATTATTTCTTCTTTATTTCTTAGATTCTACTTCACTCATTCTCAACAGGTCAAATACTTTAAACATGTTTTAAATTATAGGACTCACAGATGATTTCTTTTCTAGATCCAAAGATCCCAGTAGTTACTTTCACCTAGCAACACAGAATCAGAATGACTCTACTATGTAAAGTAGGATGAAAAGGTGTGGAAATATCAAAACATGAACAAAGAGCTCAAGTCAAGTCACAGGGAGAAAACACCAAATTAAGAGACCTGTGAATGGCCTTCAGCCCTCAGTATAAAAACAGTGCAAATATGAGAAAAAAGAAGTGGTAAAATGCCTTAAAAATTTCTTACCTCTCCTTTAACTTGACTCACAGACTTTGAAAGAGAAGAACTTATAGGCAAACAACTTAAAATCTAAATTATTAAAGTTTTGCCAGAGATCAAGGAACTAAAAAATGAAACTCCTAAATTGTTAAGGGAACTCAAACAAGATTTATATAAATATTTTAAGGTGATTGAAGTGGTCAGT